AGCAAGCAAGGGTAGTACCAATAGTAATAGGCTCCTTGGGTGCGATCCCAAAACAACTGGAGCACCACTTGAACACCATTGGCATTGACAAATTCGCTATTAGTCAATTGCGAAAGGCGGCCTTACTAGGAACTGCTTCCATCCTGCGACGATATCTGTAATACCATCAAACATCCACATCTGCCTATCCCAGGTCCTGGGTAAGGACTCGATAGGTAGACAAAATGCCAAATCCAGTCTGAACATCTGGCTGACTGTGCGATGATCCATAATAATAATAATAATAATGATAACATTGGAAGGGACCTTGGAGGTCATCTAGTCCAACCCCCTGCTAGAAGACCTCCAAGGTGCCATCCAACTCTGTCATTCTGTTCTGTTAAGTTCTTGCAGGCAATATCCTGCAGAAATAAGAAGCTCCTGAAATGCCAAATGTTTTAAGGGATGATTGCTGGCCCTTGTTAAAACACTGTGTCCTTCAGCATGAGGTTAATTCCTAAATATCCCCATGCGATGCACAGCCCAGGTCCATCCCTTGCTCTAAGTTTAATAGATTTGTCCTGGCCTAATGGCTCAGGGAAGGCCATCGGGTCAACACTAATGATCAACTCTCATTCCCAAGCAATTACGGTCCTGTCTCCAAGGAGAAGCTTGAGGTGGTGCTTGTAATTAAAAGCCATGGCAGCATAAGATTTACACAGGCCCGATTTACCACGGAAGGCCACTTGCTTGGAAGATGGATTAATGTACCAGGATGTGCTTCGGCATTGCTTATTATGCTCCTCTGCTTCAAGACCCAAATCGCCACCTGCCATTCTTAGATTCTAAGCATTTGAGAAGGCACTAATCATGGTCAGCCTGTCACTGGGCCTTCCCTCTCACAGACCCATCTTTCTTCTCTGATGCCCTAAGATGGCAAGGAGAGGAAGGCTAAGATTATGAGGGGAGAATTTGGCTGAATGTCAAAAGCTTCCTCAACAGGATAGTGGAGAAGCCAAAAATTGGGGGAAACATAATGAGCAAAACTTTAGGACAGTGGTTTTCAACCTTTTTAATGCCGCGACTCCCAACCGGTCATAAGTCGAGGACTACTCAACCAGTCGTAAGTCGAGGACTACTCAACTGGTGCAGCACCGTTTGCAGAATGGGACTTTTGGCGGGCTCAGCAGGGCAGAGACAGCCTGGACAATTCCTATTGGTTTTTGAAAGCCAATAGAATTAGACCCTATTCAAGAGAGTCTATTCTATTGGCTTTCAAAAGCCAATAGAATAAAAGGGAGTAGCACAGCTAAGGAAAAGGAGGAAAAAAATGGCGGACTGCATTGTTTGGCGACCCCTGTGAAATGGTCATTTAACCCCAAATGGGGTACTGACCCACAGATTGAGAACCACTGATTTAGGAGAAGCTAAACTTAGGAGAACTGTGTTTAGGGGAATTTTAGAAGATGCTGACCCCTATATAAGTGGTCCTCAACTTACAACAGTTGGTTTAGTGACCATTCAAACTTACAAAGTGAAGACTTCCTGTATAATTTTACAGGCCTATAAATATACCTGTAAATTTCTCAGTCTCCATGATCCAACAAACCTTCCCCTCACCACACAGGCTGTGTGGACACAACACTGACTAAGATAAGATAAGATAAGATAAGATAAGATAAGATAAGATATAACCTTTATTGTCATTTTTTTACTGTAGGCACAACGGCACACATCAAAAATGAAATGTAGTTACCCGCTCTCAAAGTGAAACACATACACGACGCACACCTAAACATATTATGTACAACATATATATATACCCACACCCCTACATATACATAGCAAATAAATATTAAATACTGCCCATCTTGAACATATAATAGAAGGAGGAAGCTTGAGAGTTCACAAGATTAATGCTATATGGAATGAAACTATGGCTGAATCTGGATGTTTTGCTAACATACTTGGCTGGTTTTATGTTTCAGACTATGGTTGAAAACATGACATTATAGGAAGGTTGAGTCAAAGGGGGGGGGTAGAATGACATAAGTTCTGTATTTCCACATTTTATTTGCACCCCGTGGTTTCCTTATCGGGACTCTGTAAAACAGTTTTTTGATCTCCCAAATGTTTCTTTCAAGCCCCTCGGAAATAAATAAGTTCCACTGGTTGAAAACCCATCCTGCTGACAGCAAAGAGCCCAAAGCAATCGGCAAAACAAATCAACAAACCAGGATAGGATAGGTGGGAAGAAGGGAGAGAGGGAGCTGAGCTGGAGAAAGATCCTTTTTCAATCCCATGTGAAAGGCTTGTGTGAAGGGAAAAGGGGAAACGGGACTTTTGAAAAATCACCCAATTGCAGACAGAGTGAAGATAAACTGCCGGCTATGAAAATAAAGCTTTTTAATCCTTGGCAATAACCATCAAGGAGCCGTATGCTTCGATTTTTGGCAGCTTTGCCCATTCTCCTCTAATGGAGTTGGATTTTATGGCTTGTGGCTTCAGATGTGGGATGGGTCGGGTTTTGGGGTTTTTTTTGCTTGGCCTGTGAACTAATGGGGGGGGTCACCTTTTATGTCACCCCAGCATTTGATGTGAATCCTGTTTCAAATGGTTAGGACATGATCTGGATTTTGCACCTGTTAGCCTTGCTTGCATGGCTAATATAGATGTGTGTGTTCCCCACCAATAAAACAGCCTGGTCTTCATCTCTCCTAGACTGAGATACTCAGAGCATCTTAGTAGGACGTAATTAACTATCGGCTCAGCTTTGCCCACCCATATAATATTTCACCTGGAAATAAATCTTCCTTTGGTTATAAAACCTTGCTTTCTATCTTCCCTCCTTCCTTCATTCCTCCCTCGCTGTCCCTCTCCCCCTCTCTCCTTCCTTCCTTCCTTCGTCCCTCTCTTCCCTTCCTTCCTTCCTTCCTTCTTTCCTTCCTTCCTTCGTCCCTCTCTTCCCTTCCTTCCTTCCTTCCTTCCTTTCTTCCTTCGTCCCTCTCTTCCCTTCCTTCCTTCCTTCCTTCCTTCTTTCCTTCCTTCCTTCCTTCCTTCATCCCTCTCTTCCCTTCCTTCCTTCCTTCCTTCCTTCCTTCCTTCCTTCCTTCCTTCCTTCTTTCGTCCCTCTCTTCCCTTCCTTCCTTCCTTCCTTCCTTCCTTCCTTCCTTCCTTCGTCCCTCTCTTCCCTTCCTTCCTTCCTTTTTTCCTTCCTTCCTTCCTTCTTTCCTTTGTTCTTTCACCCCTCTCTTCCCTTCCTTCCTTCTTTCCTTCTTTCCTTCCTTCCTTCTTTCCTTTCTTCCTTTGTCCCTCTCTTCCCTTCCTTCCTTCCTTCCTTCCTTCCTTCCTTTCTTCCTTCGTCCCTCTCTTCCCTTCCTTCCTTCCTTCCTTCCTTCCTTCGTCCCTCTCTTCCCTTCCTTCCTTCCTTCCTTCCTTCCTTCCTTCCTTCCTTCCTTCCTTCCTTCCTTCCTTCCTTCCTTCCTTCCTTCCTTCCTTCCTTCCTTCGTCCCTCTCTTCCCTTCCTTCCTTCCTTCCTTCCTTCCTTCCTTCCTTCCTTCCTTCGTCCCTCTCTTCCCTTCCTTCCTTCCTTCCTTCCTTCCTTCCTTCCTTCCTTCCTTCCTTTTTTCCTTCCTTCCTTCCTTCTTTCCTTTGTTCTTTCACCCCTCTCTTCCCTTCCTTCCTTCTTTCCTTCTTTCCTTCCTTCCTTCTTTCCTTTCTTCCTTTGTCCCTCTCTTCCCTTCCTTCCTTCCTTCCTTCCTTCCTTCCTTTCTTCCTTCGTCCCTCTCTTCCCTTCCTTCCTTCCTTCCTTCCTTCCTTCGTCCCTCTCTTCCCTTCCTTCCTTCCTTCCTTCTTTCCTTCCTTCCTTCCTTCCTTCCTTCCTTTTTCCTTCCTTCCTTCTTTCCTTTCTTCCTTTGTCCCTCTCTTCCCTTCCTTCCTTCCTTCCTTCCTTCCTTCTCCTTCGTCCCTCTCTTCCCTCCTCCTTCCTTCGTCCCTCTCCTTCCCTTCCTTCCTTCCTTCCTTCTTTCCTTCCTTCCTTCCTTCCTTCATCCCTCTCTTTCCTTCCTTCCTTCCTTCCTTCCTTCCTTCCTTCCCTTCCTTCGTCCCTCTCTTCCTTCCTTCCTTCCTTCCTTCCTTCCTCCTTCCGTCCCTCTCTTCCCTTCCTTCCTTCCTTCCTTCCTTCCTTCCTTCCTTCCTTCCTTTTTTCCTTCCTTCCTTCCTTCTTTCCTTTGTTCTTTCACACCCTCTCTTCCCTTCCCCTTCCTTCCTTCTTTCCTTCCTTCCTTCCTTCCTTCATCCCTCTCTTCCCTTCCTTCCTTCCTTCCTTCCTTCCTTCCTTCCTTCCTTCCTTCCTTCGTCCCTCTCTTCCCTTCCTTCCTTCCTTCCTTCCTTCCTTCCTTCCTTCCTTCCTTCGTCCCTCTCTTCCCTTCCTTCCTTCCTTCCTTCCTTCCTTCCTTCCTTCCTTCCTTCCTTTTTTCCTTCCTTCCTTCCTTCTTTCCTTTGTTCTTTCACCCCTCTCTTCCCTTCCTTCCTTCTTTCCTTCTTTCCTTCCTTCCTTCTTTCCTTTCTTCCTTTGTCCCTCTCTTCCCTTCCTTCCTTCCTTTCTTCCTTCGTCCCTCTCTTCCCTCCCTTTCCCTCCCTCCCTCCCTGTCTAGAAATGGCTAGTTTATACTATTATATAAAAAGCTGAGATTTGATGTTATTATCTTACTCTACTGGACCAAAGGGAGTTGGAAGTCAACGCCTTTTCTTTCTTTTTCCCTTCTTTTCTACACTTTTCTCTTCCCTTTTCCCTGCCCTGTTTTTCCTCTTATTTGCTTTTGTATTTTTGTATTTTATATTGTAAACCAATAAAAAGGGACAAGCAAAAAAAAAAAAAGGAAAGCAGGACCAATTTCTAATCATCGTCTTCTCCTTATTAATATTATGAATAGCCACACATTATGTGCTTCCCCTTCCCTCCTTCTCTTGAACACTCTCTTTGGAAAACAATGACCGAAAATCTATTTTTCATTTTTAAGGACTCCTACATCGAACCTGATCGTAAGTCTTCCTACTTTGACCTGACAGAGGTGAGTAGAAACCGCAGCATCTAGCTTTCTAGATGGCTGGGGGATTCTGGGAGTCGAAGTCCACCTATTTTCAAGTTGCCTGGTCCAGTGGTGGGGTGAACCTATGCCACGCGTGCGAGAGGCGGCACTCAGAGCCCTCTCTGTGGGCACGCGTGCCGCTGCCCCGTTTGGAAGCGACAGGGCAGGAAGTGAGCGAGCAAACGGCATTGGCCCCCCAGGGATGCCCCGGAGATGGCAAGGGACTGGCCCCGGCCACGCTCACCCAGTCTGCCGTGATCTCTGCAGCCATGCCCACCCAGTGGGCCACACCCCCCCTAAGGGCACCACAGTGCTGATACAGCCCTGGCACTTTGCGATAAAGAAGTGGGTTTTGGGTTGCAGTTTGGGCACTCGGTCTCTAAAAGGTTTGCCATCACTGCCCTGGTCTATTTCATAGATTCGTAGATCATCGATTCCAATCAGATTCACAAGCGTCCTGTAAGATATCTTGGATACTATTCTTCTCTCTATAACTCAGTGGTTCTCAACCTTTTTAATGCCGCGACCCCCAACCGGTCGTAAGTCGAGGACTACTCAACTGGTCATAAGTTGAGGACTACTCAACTGGTGCAGCACCGTTTGCAGAATGGGACTTTTGGCGGGCTCAGCAGGGCAGAGACAGCCTGGACAATTCCTACTGGCTTTTGAAAGCCAATAGAATTAGACTGTATTCAAGAGAGTCTATTCTATTGGCTTTCAAAAGCCAATAGAAAAAAAGGGAGTAGCACAGCTAAGGAAAAGGGGGGAAAAAATGGCGGACTGCGTTGTTTGGCGACCCCCGTGAAATGGTCGTTCGACCCCAAATGGGGTCCCGACCCACAGGTGGAGAACCACTGATCTAGAACTCTTGTTTCCTCTTACCTAAAGCCTCATTTGCAAGCTTGTTTTTTTTTTCTAAGACACTTGCCCAAATCGGAGCCATGGAAACTGTCAAGTGGAACAGGGAATCGCTGGGGGGGGGGGAGGAGTCTCATCTCTGGGATCTCCCTCCTGTCTGTGGCTAAGGGCAAAGTGTGTTTTCCGTGACTGATGGGTCTCCTGTATTCTTGTCACTACCTGGTGGGCAACCATCCACCTGCTGTTGCTTTCCTGTCACTCTTTGTGGTCTTTTGCTTACAGCCTAGTTGCTAAGAGAAGCTCTGTCTGTTATAGCAACCAGCCATTACTGGAATGCAGAAGAGAGGAAGGCAGATTCCTCGAAAGCAGATCCAAGCTTCTAGATCACTCTGCTCCCTGTTAGATCCTTTCTCCCTCCCTTCTCACCGCCCGCCAGACTGCAGATCCCCTCTTTTAAGTTTAAGCACTGAGAGATCTTCCTTGTCATAATAAGCCACCCTGCCTGGAATAAGTCCATGTCAAAGTTTACCTGGGCATTTCTGCTTGAGGAAACGCCAACGCACCTGTTTGCTTTGTTCTTCTGGAGCGCCTGTGGTTTCCTTGGGTGTTGTCACTTGGAAAGGACAGGCACCTGGCAACGGGGACAGAAGCCGGATCAATCAGCCTTGCAAAGGGAGGAGAAAGCTGGAAGAAGTCTTCTGAAGGCTTCAGTAGTTTTTCAGCGGGGCAGAAATTGGTGTGAAGGCAGATCTGGGCTGCTTAGCTTCTGCAAATGGCATTGTACTACCGGCCCTTCTCCTCAACAGTGAGTAACTAAGGATTCTTCCGCTCTCAGGTGGCACATAGGTATTCCCCCCCCCCCCATGCAGCAGAAGGCAGACCCGTTCACACAAAGAATTCTGTTGAATGATAGGGAAATACACAATTGAGGGACCAAACGTTCCCTTCCTCCCTCCCTCCCTCCATTTTTCCTTCCTTCCTTCCTTCCTTCCTTCCTTCCTTCCTTCCTTCCTTCCTTCCTTCCTTCCTTCCTCCCTCATTTTTCCTTCCTTCTTTCCTTCCTTCCTTCCTCCCTCCCTCATTTTTCCTTTCTTTCTCTTTCTCATTCTCTCCCTGCCCCCTCCCTCCCTTCCTTCCTTCCTTCCTTCCTTCCTTTCTTCCTTCCTTTCTTCCTTCCTCCCTTCCTCTCTCCCTCCTCCCTCTCCCTCATTTTCCTTTCTTTCTCTTTGTCTCCCTCCTTCATTTTTCCTTCCTTCCTTCCTTCTTTCCCTCCTTCCTTCCTCCCTCCCTCCCTCCCTCATTTTTCCTTTCTTTCTCTCTCTGCCTCATTTTTCCTTCCTTCCTCCTTCCCTCCCTTCCTCCCTCCCTCATTTTTTCTTTCTCTTTCTCATTCTCTCTCTCCCTGATTTTTCCTTCCTTCCTTCCTCTCCCCCTCTCCCCCCTCCCTCCTCCCCTTCATTTTTCCTTTCTTTCTCTTTGTCTCCCTCCATCATTTTCCTTCCTTCCTTCCCCCTCCCTCCCTCCCTCCCTCATTTTTTCTTCCTCCCTTCCTTCTTCCCTTCCTCCCTTCCTCCCTCCCTCCCTCCCTCAATTTCTACATTTTGAGACCGGCCATCTGCTTCTTGTTTCACAGATGCCAAACAACAGGTTTCCATTATCTGATGCTGTAGCTAAGATGCTGCCTGAGAAAGACAACAGGTAGGTCCTGCCTTAGCCCGTGGGCTCTGCAGAACAGTAGCAGATATTCTTAACAACTGTGTTGCTAACTTAACAACTGCAGTGATTCGCTTAACAATTACGACAAGGAAGGTCATAAAATGGGACAAAATGCAATGAACAAGCGTGCCACTTAGCAACAAGAGTTTCGGGCTGCCCTGTGGTCTTAAGCCAAGGACCGCCTCTACCGCATTTACAGTTTCACATTGCACAAAACTATACCAGGTGCGCAACGCACCATGCATATATGTCGAAAATTGCTTGCCAAAAACGTATGCTTGGGAATGCAGCAACAATTAATTGACTGATTAATGTGTATGTATTAGCAGAAATACGGATCTTTATGCAGCTTTTTCCCCCCCTTCTGTTTTACAAGCTGCTAAAGAAACAGATCAAAATAAACATACAATCAAGACAAGGGGGGGGGGAAACTAAATTAAATTTTTTTTTTGCCAATTTTTCAGGCCAGTCATTGAAGAGATCCAGGATCTGGTAAGGCAAATATAATTAGAAATAATAATAATGATTCATCAATCATTATTATTTAACATATTACAACATTTCGCTCTTCCTTCTGTCCTTTTTAATCTTTGGGGTTTGGTTTGGTTTTGGTTTTTTTCCGTTTTTGAGATGTTGATCAGCATAACAAACGGGCTTCCTTCGATTTTACAATCCATCAAAAAAAGTCTGCCCCTTTTTCATGGCCGCCACCAGCAAGCTACAAAACGCTTTTCAGAAAGGAGGAGGAGAAAAGCAAAACGCTTGACAAAACTAATCCTCAGACTTGAAGGAACTGCCGAGCTGATTAATAGCCCGGTTCTAATCCTGCTGTGTGTCTCTCGCCCTTGGCATTTGTAAAACTATCACAGAATCACTTGAAAGATTTTTTTAAAAAAACTGGAATAAGATATAAAATGCTGCCCTCTGCAGCAAGGAAGTAATTTAGCAGAAGGGATCCAGCAGATTGGTTAAAAAAAAACCCCAGAATAACAGAGTTGGAAGGGACCTTGGAGGTCATCTAGCCCAACCCCCTGCTCAAGTAGGAAATCCTGTACCAGTGATGGCAAAACTTTTAGAGACCGAGTGCCCAAACTGCAACTCAAAACCCACTTATGTATCATTTGGGTGCTGGGTGAGCGTGGCCCATTGGGTGGGCGTGGCCCATTGGGTGGGCATGGCTGCAGTGGTTACGGAAGACTGGGTGGGACTAAAACGTTCAATCAATCAATTTTCAACTTCATGAGTTCTTTTTTTTTCTGCGAGAAATTGAAATTGATTGATTGAACCTTTTTTTTTTTTTTGCATACAGTGGCGGAAGCCTAAAGCAAAAAGGTTTTATAAAACCCAGCTGAAGGCCTAGAACTGGGGCGACAGCACGCGTGCCCACAAAGAGGGCTCTGTGTGCCACCTGTGGCACGCATGCCATGGGTTCGCCACCGTGGTGCTATACCATTTCAGATCAATGGTTGTCCAGTCTCTTCTTGAAAACCTCCAGTGTTGGAGTGCACACACACACACACACACACACACACACAAGATCTCAAAGCACTGAAAAGCAAGTTTGACTCAGTTAAGTAGAAAGGCTGTGAAGGAAAGTGAGAAAAAGAGAGTGGAAAAGCCAAAAGAGAAGAGAAGAATTCAACCGAACCACTCTTGGCTGGAGTAGATATGATCCGCTTTGTTTATTGTCATGGTTGTCCACAAAATGTGCTCAAAACATCAAGATGATGTCCACAACTGTGAAATCAAAGCTGAGAAGAGAAAAGAAGAGAAGAAAAGAGAAGGAATAGAGAACAGATTGTAGAATAGAATAGAATAAGAAAAGAGAAGAAAAGAAAAGAAAAGAAAGAATAGAGAAGAGAAAAGAAGAGAACAGATTGTAGAAAGAGTAGAGTAGTAGAATAGAATAGAATAGAATAGAAGAAGAGAAGAGAAGAGAAGAGAAGAGAAGAGAAGGAGTAGAATAGGAAAGAGAAGAGAATGCTTTATTTGGCCAAGTGTGATTAGATACACAAGGAATTTGTCTTGGGTGCAGAAGCTCTCGGTGTACATGCAAAACAATAGAATAATAATAATCATAATAATGATACCAATAAGAGGGGGTCATAGAGAAGATGAGAATAATAATACTGCAGCCAGAAAACATGGATAAATATACAGTCCTTAGACATAAGACAGAACTCTGCGTTCTTTACTCAGACTGAAAAGAAGGGTATGAAAGAACGTCTTCAAACCATTGTCCCATAAGGAGTATTTCAATAGCAAATTGCACAGAAAACCACATGCTTCATTTGACTCTAATTTTCTCCTCTGGGGTGAAAGGAATTTTGTGTCTCTTGCCATCAATAGCTTCTGTATTTGAGCCATTGCAAAATCCACTAGTTGAGGCACCCGTCAAGCTGCTTAACCTTCCCCAAGCCTTGCAAACATTGGGCTGTCCTTGTCTGTTTCCCATCTTCCCAGCTGATGGTCACTGTTCAGCAGAGCCACATGGTCCTGGACCCAAAAATGAAGAAAAAAAAAAAAAGGGTAGATCCATGAAATATATCTCTTGACAGCTAGTCAGAGACAAGGCTGTGCCAACCTCAACAACATTCTGTACATGCGTCAGTTTCTCTCTGGAAGACACCCAGGAAGATTGCTGGGATGCTCAGGCCTTGTCCCAGCTTGACTGGGGTGACACTGAACCCAACCATCTCCCTCCGCTCACCCTGTGTCCGAAAGAGCAGGAAAGGAGGCATCCCTCCTATACATTCCATGAAATCCGTCTCCTTGGTCTTTAAACAAATAAACCAGCCTTATCTCTTGACCTCCTGTTGAAGACTCAGGCAAGGTCGAGATTGGAGAAGGTCACCAGCCTGGTCCAGGGAGAGGTCTCCATGGCCTCACAGCTGTTCTTCTACAAGGCTGTGTAGCATCAGCCAAAAAGGATGTTGGTTGACTTTATGTTCGGCTCAAGGCCATTTTTAGAGGCTTTCGTTCAGCCACCGCAGTAAACTGAACTTTCTCAGGGTTCTTTTCATGTGCTGCCTCCTTCCCCAAAAAACCTCCGCCAGAAAAACTCCATTGCAGAATAATTTCGTGCAACCGTGAATTTCCAGTGAGAAATGAATCTGCGCTCAGAAGCAGAGTTTGCATGTTTATGCTCTTAGCATGGAGGGAACACTATGCTATCTACTCTGCATTTAATCACAAATTTAAGGATTAAATTAATTTCATATTGCTATCGATAATTAATTAGATGGCACTTTTTTCCCTTTTGTTCATGCTGTTAATTTGTCCCTTCCTTCTTTATTTTCTTCCTTCCTCCCTTTCTCCATCTTCCTTCCTTCCTTCTTCTCTCCTTTCCTTCCTCCCTCCCATTTTTTCTCTCTCTCCTTCCTTCCTTCCTTCCTTCCTTCCTTCCTTCCTTCCTTCCTTTCTTCTTTCCTTCTTTCCTTCCTTTCTCTCCATCTTCCTTCTTCTTTCCTTCCGTCCTTCTCCCCTTCTTCCCTCCCTCCCTCCCATTTTTTCTCCCTTCCTTTTTTCCTTTCTTCCTTCTTTCCTTTTCTTCTTTCCTTCTTTCCTTCCTCTCTCTCTCCATTTTCCTTCCTTCCTTCTTCTCTCTCCTTCCTTCCTTCTGTCCTTCCTCCTTCCCATTTTTTCTCTCTCCTTCCTTCCTTCTTTCCTTCCTCCCTTATCTTCCCTTCCTTCCTTCCTTCCTTCCTGCCTGCCTGCCTGCCTGCCTTCCTTAGGAAATAGACAATTACCGCGTAGCCATGAAAAAAATGGCGGATGACATTATGTCTTTGCGCCAACATATTTCCACACTGGAGAGGGAAAACAGTGCGTTGAGACGCAACCTTGCCTTGCATGAAGATATTGGCCGCGCTCTTCTCCAGGACATTGATCTGGATGTTATGACCAAGGCAGAAATAGTCGACAGAATATGTAAGAGAATTGTCTCTTCTTTTTCTGCCCATTCAGAAAATGGGGGTGGGAGGGCCTACTTAAAAGGAAAGGAACGAGAGCAACCCAGAAATCTTCATTTTCTTTGAAAATGTGTCTCACATCCATCCAGGCCATGGAGGCCTCCCTGCAAAAGTTAATGTTGGATAGCTAAATGGCAAGATTGCCACATGTCATCCCATCACTTCCATCAATGGGTTGGGAGAAGAATTTTGACTACCTTCATTGGAGTTTTTGCCTTTTGTTGTTGTTGTTGTTGTTGTTCTCAGTGGTCCTCAAGCAAAAATTATCTTCTGGGGCTCGGGAGATGGCCAGGATGAAGGATCGGATACAGAGACTGCAAAACGAATTGATTCGGGTAAAGTGTTCCTGGAATTCCCTTTTGCTGCATCTTTTATTGGTCTGGCCTTCTTGACTGCTTGACAGGACGACGAAGTCTTCATTTATTGATGATTTTTGTCCCCAATCTAGGCTGCTGAATTGGTTAATAATCATAATAATAATAATAAACTTTATTGTCATTGTATGTGTATACACAGTAGACACGTACAACGAAATTTATGTGACACCCAAAGGCCAGGTCCCACACACATAATCCCCAAACACACTCCCACCTTAGACTGAAGAATTTCTCTCCTCTCGCTTTATTTTTTCTTCCCGCAGAAAAACGACCGAGAAAAAGACCTGGTGATGTTGCAGAAAGCTCACCAACAACAGCAGATGGTGCTTCGAAAATATCAAGCCAAGATCGCCAGGATGCAAACGCTTGAGGATGCCGTCAAGCAGCAGGAAAAGGTGTAGGGCTACTCTCTGGTACCTTCAAAGGGGGGGGGGTTCCTTAAGGGGCCTTTCCCTGGACAGTCATGCTCATCTGTTTCCACAAAAGGTCATCGAGAAGATGGAGAGGATGCTGGAAGGGAAGGTGAAGGAACAGATCAAAGAAGCCTCGTTCGGGGAGTTATCCAAAACGGCTGGTAAGTAAGCCACAAGTATAGCAGATCTTCTGTTATTCCTTTCCAGGAGATTTGGCTGCCATCCTGAACGAGATGGTTGAGTCACCCATTTCTGCTCCCAAGTAGAGAAGAGATTCTTCGTACTTACGAAGCTCTTTCCTTCTCTCTGTCTTTTTATTTGTTGTTGTTGTTGTTGTTGTTGATCATCCCATACCTGACCTGTCCTCAGGTGACAATTGGACCAAAGATGTCTACTCCACCCTATTGATGGAGAACATGAGGCTACGGGATGAACTGGGGAAAACTTCTTTTCGTTCACCCATCATATTGCAGCAGCAAGCATTACCAGTAAGACTCAATAACCCTTTCTCACTTTCCTCTCCTTTCCTCTCTTCTCTTTACTTACCTATTTATATGTATATCCATCTCTCCATCCCTCCATCCCTCCTTCCTTCCATTAATCCATCCCTTCCTTCCTTCCTTCCTTCCTTCCTTCCTTCCTTCCTTCCTTCCTTCCTTCCTTCCTTCCTTCCTTCTCTTTATCTGCTGTGTCATCTCTATGTATCACTCGACAAGTATCTTCTATTTCTTCCCTCTCCCACTTCTGTCTGTCTACATGTAGGTCTGTCTAACCTTCTAATTATCTATGTCCCTAATGTCCCATGTGTCAACTGCCTGTCTTCATTTGATGGTGCCCCTGATGGGTCTGAGCCAAAAGGCAGTCAATCAGAATAACAGAACAAGCCTGGAAGGGACCTTGAGGTCATCTAGCCCAACTTCCTCCGTCAAGCAGGAGACCCTCTACCATTCCAGACAAATTGTTGTCCAATCTTTTCTTAAAACCCTCCAGTGTTGGAGCACCCACAACTTCTGGTCTCCAGTGGAGACTTTTCCCACCAGCTGATTCCTTTAACCCAGTGTTTCTCAACCTTGACAATTTTAAGGCATGTGGACTTCAACTCCCAGAATTCCACAGCCAGCATGGCTGGCTGTGGAATTCTGGGAGTTGAAGTCCACATGCCTTAAAATTGTCAAGGTTGAGAAACACTGCTTTAACCGAATAGATGTGTCAGAATCCAATTATATTTCATCTCTAGTTATCAACTATAGAAAACCCCATTTCTGCCTTCCCTGGATTCTGCCATACGATGAAGGGAAGGGGGTGAATAAAGGGGCTTTATGGCCCTCACTTCCTTCAGTACACTTCAAAGCAACTGAATGTGGGTATCACCAAAAGGACTAACCATAACAATGGGGCTATTACCTTTCATGTACTCCTCTCTGAAGTCTCCCTCCAGTTGGCAGTAAGGAAAAGGGGGTGGGAGTGTAATGCCTGAGACTGGCGCTGGAAGAAGGGGGTGATTGGGTGGGGCTACTGGGGAACCCCTTAAAACCTTGAATGGGAGGGCTTGGACCCCAAGTCCTGTCTAGAACGCCTGCAACCATTTTCTCGTAATAAAGGATGCCTGATGGAAGAATTATTCCAAGAGTTCTGTCTTCTCAAGATGCAAAGTGGGGTGGGTCCTTACAAGATGGGCCCTTTGTAACCCCAAACCACACGAGTCTTTATTTGTATTTCTTGACTTTCTCCTCCATCTGTGAACAACAAACCCTTATTAATGTTTCCCCCAGGACACATTTTCATCCAGCTCAGAAAAGCTCTCGTTGATTTCAAAGCTGGAGAAGGCTGAGGCACGCATCCTTGCCTTGGAGCACCAGGTAATGGTCATCTCGCTGGCACGAAGTTTTGGGATGATCCCTCCCCAGATGTTCCTTGGCATCCAGAATGAAATCCAACCCCTCTTCATCTGTGTTCAGACAGAGCAGTGTTTCTCAACATCAGCAACTTTAGGATTGCGGGGACTTCAATTCCTAGAAGCCTTTGCTGACTAGAGAATTCTGGGAGTTGAAGTCCACCCGTGTTAAAATTGCTGACATGGAGAAGTACTGAAACAGAGCATTGAGGTATAACTGGTACTAACTCTTAGTGTCTTCATTTTATGGTTCATAGCTAAATTCTGCCTGGCAAAGCTCAGAGGTAAATTCAAAAAATGTGGTTTTTAAAACAAAAATGAATTCTTCTAAGTTTGGCCACTTGGCCAATGCTGATGATAGCTTATTTGTTAATTAGGTTTATATCCTGCCTTTGGACAGCTTGCCAGCAATGTTCATAATTCTATTCCTCCTATTTCCCCTACCCCTGAGAACAATTTTGTGAGGTGGGTTGTGCTGTGAAGAGATGAGGGAAGGCTAGATCTCATCATCTTTCAATTCCTTGTCCAGCTCCTTAACCTAGTTCTGGTGGTCAACCATCAAATGCTAAAGCATCTTGTCAGAATCCAATTATATTTCATTTCTAGTTATCAACTATGGAGAACCCCATTCCTGCCTTCTCTGGATTCTGTCATTAGATGAAGGGAAGGGGGTGAACAAAGGGGCTTTATGGCCTTCATGTAGTTTTCTCTGAAGTCTCCCTCCAGCCGGCAGTAAGGAAAAGGGGGTGGGAGCGTAATGCCTGAGACTGTCGCTGGAAGAAGGGGGTGATTGGGTGGGGCTACTGGGGAACCCCTTAAAACCTTGAATGGGAGGGCTTGGACCCCAAGTCCTGTCTAGAACTCCTGCAACCATTTTCTCGTAATAAAGGATGCCTGTTGGAAAAAAGATTCCAAGAGTTCTGTCTTCTTAAGATGCAAAGTGGGGTGGGTCCTTACACATCTGCTGTATGTCATAATTGAGGCTCTGTGCCTGTAAGCATTTCTCTTCTTTGGTACAGCTGGCGGACTCTGCCAAGAGCTGGGGGCGAGACAAGCAGAATTACAACACTCGTCAGCTTGAAAACGACCTTGGGTTTGACCGATCGCCGTCCTCGTTCATAATTCATGATGTTTTTCCGGTGAGCAATGGACACAAACAACAGAAACAGACCAGGAGGGAAGGCCAGATAAAACTTCTAGGTGACTCCAGTGGTGGTACCCAGGTGTAGAACCATCCAAGATGGTTTGCTTCTTTAGGTGAAGCATCGTTTCACATTGAAGTCAACCAAACAGGGAGCTGAACCTTCCTCCAGCATTAGGATGGGACAGTGTCCATCACCGCAGCAGAATAACAGAATAATAGAATTGGAAGGGACCTTGGAGGTCTTCTAGTTCAACCCCTGCTCAAGCAGGAGAACCCTCTACCAATCCAGACAAGTGGTTGTCCAGTCTCTTCTTAAAACCTCCAGTGATGATGGAGCATCCACGACCTTTGAAGGCAAGCCATTCCACTGGTTAACTGTTCTGACTGTCAAGAAATTTCTCCTTAGTTCTAAGTTGCTTCTCTCCTTGACTAGTTTCCATCCGTTGTTTCTCGTCTTGCCTTCTGGTGCTTTGGAGAATAGGTTGACCTTCCTCTTCTTTGTGGCAGCCCCTCAAATATTGGACCACTGCTATCATGTTACCCCTAGTCCTTCTTTTCACTAGATTAGACATACCCAGTTCCTGCACAACCTCCAATATCTATTCTTCAGGGTTAGAACAGAATTTTGTAAGAATTTGGAAATGGAGACCAGCTTTTGATCTGAAGGAGAATCTTTGTTCTTTACCCTTTCACAAGTCTCCCCTTCATCCACAGGACGAGAAGGAAAGGAGAGCGGATGAAGAGGAGAAGCACAAAAAATCAGGGAACGTCATACAAAAGTAGCTAGTCAAAGGGCTGAATCTCCTTAGAGGTCAGTGTTAATCCTTAGCCACAGTTGTAAGCCAAGATTGCACAGCTTTGGGTAGGGGTGGCGGAGGGCTGTAGGCCACATTGGTCCTTTCAGGAATGCCTTGTAGACCAAACTTCCAAAGATGGAAGAATCAGGACAAAACTTGAGCAAAGAATGTTGTCGTGTATTCTTTTTTAAAAAAAACATCAGTGGAGATAAATAACGTGATTAATCTCTGTGTTGATAAAGGTTGTTTGTGGAAACGAATATCCCAAAATATCTTTTTTTGTGTCTGAGGTTTCTCTGAATCACATTGCTCTTTCTTTGCGGGGGGGGGGGGTTGTTTAAAAAAAATTAACCTTATTGAACCCTACCACCTTGTTTTACTAAGGGGAAGTATTTTTTTAACAGTCCCTCTCTTTCCAATTTCTCGAAATAAAACCATATCTAGTTTCAAACGGGGGCTCCCAATTTTCCCACAACTGATGTTTGCTCTTTTCTCTTCCGTTGATTATGGAAAATTACCGTCCTTGTCAAATACAATCAGTCTGAGGGGCTGCCATGCAGAGAGGTGGACCCTCCACAACAGGGTTTTCAAACTTGGCCCTTTTATGACTTGTGGACTTCAACTCCCAGAACTCCTCAGCCAGCATATGCTGGCTGAAGAATTCTGGGAGTTGAAGTCCACAGCTGATAAAAGAGCCAAGTTTGAAGACCCCTACTCCACAGCCTTTCTGGGGGGAAAAGTTGTAGGCCATGCTGGAGTAGTTGCAATATTGCTATTCCTGACAAGGAGAAAGAGGCTGGCATTTTCCTACCATCAGAACTGGATTGTTGAGATACAGCCAATCCTAGGTGTGTCTTGAACCTCAGCCAATGAGTGGGAGTCACCTCAGTCGGGAAAAAATGTCCCTGCAACCATTTTTTTGGTGGTTGAATAGAGTCAGCATGTCTTCAGCTCAGCCTGCTTTCAGTACATTGCCATGAAGTTAGACCTGGGTCAAAGGCTGTCCACACCCAATGATGGGGGTCTTCAAACTTGGCCCTTTTATGACTTGTGGACCTCAACTCCCAGAAGCCCACAAGTCATAAAAGGGCAAGTTTAAAGACCCCTGCCCAATGACATAGGATATTTGGGTTGGGTCAACTGGTCCCCAGAGGGGAAGGATGAGGCAACAGTAAATTGTGTTCTGACGCCGCTTCTTCCATCGTTCCTAGAAACCACATTAAATTAACACAACTCAAGAGCCATTGGAATCCACCGCCTTTGACTTAAGTCTGGGAAGAAACTCTGGAATTCTACCTGCTGCAGCAGAACAAAATCTCTATCGCGAAATATATACTGTTATATACCTCTTTCCTGGAGAGATGAGCTGAATACAGACTTCTCTGTAAAACTAGCTTATGGTCTTGGTGCCTGTTATGTAAATTTTGTACGATACCTAAGGTGTCTCAGCCTTTTGAGTTTGTAATGGTAAGTGAGGATGTGCCTTGGGAGAGAGGACAAAAAGCGGCTGGCCAGGCAGCAGATCAGCTGATTCTACTGCAGGAAAGTGACTGTGTTTAACCTCTCAGAAGGGACCCCCCCTAATATCTATAAAGGTGAGGGGGAGAGATATAATTTCAGACTTCCAAGATTCTATTCATGTAACCTTACCACAAAGCTAGAGATTCTGGGTGTCATGTGAGCTGATTTTTTTCCTTAGTTCTGTTCTCGTTTATCTGCATTCTTAGCCAACGGTTGAGTCCGTAGCAGTCATCTTTCGCTGACTATTATTATGGCCTTAGTTTTCTGACTTGGCTATAGAACGCTCAATTTCAAATTTTAGCTGAGCATAAGAAAAATCCTGTTTGGAAACAAATTGCGGAGAAGGTCTGGCCATCTAACTGTGGTTACTTTAAAACTAGGACTCCTCCATTATTTCCTACCTTGGCCTAAGTTTTCAGGGTGGTCTGTCTTTCAGGAAAATCTGCCAGAGGCACCCAATGTGGTGGTTCGTCAGAAGACTCAGAAGAAGGAAAAGAACTTTATTTCATCCAGCACACAAAATTCATATAATCATATAGAAAGTTGTAATGGCCGTGACAGAGATATCATTAATAAAGGACTAGAGAAATGGACAGAGAAGAGGTCAAGATGTAGCCTTGGTCTTCAGAAGTAGCCTTCTACCATTAGCCAAGAGAAATCAAGAGTTGAGAGAGCCTATAAATGTCATATCTTCTTTGAAAACTTCCCAGAGGGAATCTGGTTGGACATTGTGGAAAACATAAAGATGGAAGAGATGCAACATTGGTCCAGCTAGAGCAGTGGTTCTCCACCTGTGGGTCGGGATCCCATTTGGGGTCGAACGACCATTTCACAGGGGTCACCAAACAACACAGTCCGCCATTTTTTCCCCCTTTTCCTTAGCTGTGCTCCTCCCTTTTATTCTATTGGCTTTTGAAAGCCAATAGAATAGACTCTCTTGAATAGAGTCTAATTCTATTGGCTTTCAAAAGCCAATAGGAATTGTCCAGGCTGTCTCTGCCCTGCTGAGCCTGCCAAAAGTCCCATTCTGCAAACGGTGCTGCACCAGTTGAGTAGTCCTCGACTTACGACCGGTTGAGTAGTCCTCGACTTACGACCGGTTGGGGGTCGCGGCATTAAAAAGGTTGAGAACCACTGAGCTAGAAGTTACTCCCATCGGATGAGAAGGAATCTTCTTAAACCTAATAATATTAAGCCTAGTAGAGTGCTCTGGTGTACAGGAAGATCTGAGCAGGAGAGCCTTCTTTTTGTCTTATCTAAATTGTGTTATATGAGATAAAAAAACAAGACCGAAAGCCAGAACATCCTGCTGCGCCCCAACTGTGGTTTGATTTCTATGTTTAGTAAACATCGGACATTGGGAACATCATTGGACCGTGATCCTAAGAGCTGGCAGCGCCATCCCTTCTCCAAGTGTTTTGAAAGAAAGCGTTTGTGGAGAATTTCACCCAGTTCATTAATGGGAATGATGAGGCCGTAGCGTCAGATGGATTGGTTTGTCTGGAATCAGGATAAGGCCAAAAGTGGTACCAACCTCCACGCCTCTCTTTATTTCGATCTTGAATTTTTCCAGCATCTGAGGGAGAAGAAGGGGAAAAAAACAAGAGGAAGTTACACATCTCTACGTAGCAAGGGATTGGCCAGAGTGTCACCTGAGCTTTTGAGCTTGGTTGTTTTCTTGTAGGGGAGGAGGAGGAGGAGGAGGAGGAGGAGGAGGAAGAATGCTGTGGGGTCCTTGGTGCTCTCTGACCTTGGTTGTTTTCTTCAAGACATTTCATGACCCAACTAGATAACAACATCAATGCACTGATGATGTTACATAGAAGATGTTACCTAGTTGGGTAATAAAACATCTGCAAGAAAACAACCAAGCTAGGAGAGCACCGGGGACCCCACAGTTCCATCCTGAGCTAAAGAAATGTTCTCTTCTATCGTCGAGTCACCAGATTTGGCCCGGATCTGCCAAGTTATGATTCTTATTCAATCTTCTAAAGGGGTAGCTGAGGACTTTCCCAGACATATATGTGTGTAAGACAAAGGACCAGCCCACCCTCTCCATATTTCTCCAGCCTGTCTTCCATTAGGAGTCAGTGGCAGAACTGGACTCACATGGATCAAAAACAGCTGCATCTCTATCTCGGCAATTCTGCGGCCAAGACACTGACGTGGCCCAAAGCCGAAACTTAATCCTCTGAAATATTTGGAGTCGTCAGTCTTAATCCACCTTTCTGGGTTGAACTGCAGAGGTTTGGAGAAAAATCTGGAATCCCTAAACATGGCATAAAGTCCCACCTGGACTAATGTCTGTGAAAAAAAGATGGGAAGGAAAAGGAAATAAATCAGAGTTGATGACTTGTATCTAGACTAGATTAAAAACAGTATCAGCAGGAATGACTTCCAGCAATCTCTAGATGTCTTCAACCGTCCTTGGACCAGCGTGCTATTAATAAGGACAAGCTTTGTCTCACCACCACAATAGGTCAGGTGATGCTAGAAGACAACTCAAGTCACCAATGGGAGGATGGTCTCAAACCTTTGGAGACAAGGGAGAATTTGAACATTGTTAAAAACCACCACCACCATTATTATCAGGAGTGCTGATTACTCACATTGGCAGGGATACAGTAATTTTGAAGGACAATCTCTTGTGTGGTGTATCTCTGTAACGTCACTGCAACTGGATGGAGCCTGGGTTGAAATCAGAGGAAGAAGAGAGATCTTTTATAATCTAAAAAATTATTTTTCCATCCTAATCTAACCTAGCATTAAACAACAATTATAAACTACTAGACACGCTGTGGCCCTTTGGGATATGGTTTCCAAGACATTGCCTGACCAAATTCCTCAACCTCTTCAATGATTCCTTCTAATGTACTGGAAAAATGTTTAAAAATTCAGGGACGTATTCCGAGATGAACGTGTCTTGAAAGTAGCCCACGTTGAGCTGTGTAGGACATCAGGAGTTGACCACGGGAAATATTCTTTTTGACATTTTGTACCTGAGTGTTTCTTTGATGACTGCTTTGATCAACGGGATCAACTTCATCATCTTCACAACATCTCCCCGGGAAGTTGCTCTGGCTGCGGAGATTTCGGATCTCAGTTGCTCCTGAAGGTGTGGTGCCCGAGCGAGTTCATACAGAGCCCACTGGAGGGTGATGGAAGTCTGAATGAAAATAGATCACATCGGCCCATGAGTGCCTTCTTAAGTGGGTCTTCTCAGCCACCCCTGCAAAAATGTGTGTGCTTCCCTTAGTGTAGGGCTGTCCAAATTTGTGGACTGGCTGGGGAATTCGGGGAGTTGAAGTCCACAAGTCTTAAAGTTGTCTAGTTTGGAGAGCCCTGTACAAGACTCAAGATTTCTAACTGAACTGGAGTATCTCTGGACCTTCTTAATGTTTTAGGTCCGCCAATTTATCAAAGTAGAGTGGCTACCTCTTTAATTTAGCTCAGACAGAGGAAGAGAGGTTTGAAGTGGCTGGAGATATGGAATTAAAGAAAACATCAGGGAGCAGAGGAATGGTCTGAATGGTTTTAATGACCAGAAGAATGCAAAGATCACTGATTCCTCAAAGAGTCTTGTAAAAACATTGAATAGAATCAAAGAGACCATTTGAAGGGGACATCATGAACCTGTCAAGGTCTCGCCTTACCGTGTCCACCCCTCCTGCCATCATCTCAGTTATGCTGGCTTTGATGTCTTCTATTGGCATCTTGTTCTGCATCAAAAGACTACAGAGAATGCCTCGGTACTCTTTGGCACCCTTCTGGTTGAAACAGAGGTTTTGGTAGATGTTCTGTATACATTTGTCAGCTGGTGAGATAGAGACATCATGGTAGACATACAAATAAATACAATACAATTTTATTGAAACAATAACATCACCGTGGAAGCTTCCTCCCCAAGTTCTCACCAGACTAGCGACTTTCTATCCTGTCACTGGGTGAAGGTTGGAAGTGCGCAGGTTCACACAACCACCACAGGTCCACTCACCATGCGTGAAGATGACATCCCAAGCGTAGACGTGATCCTGCCAAAACTTGGAATTGATCCTGCGTAGAAATTCTGGCGGTATGTACAACATGGGTGCAGTGGAATTAAACATCAGGGTGATGGCATCAATGAATTTCTGTGCCTCGGGGTCAATGAAATCCTGAAGAAGCCCCAACCGGATGCCGTAAAGGACATGGCATACAGCTGTGGGAAGAGAGAGACGGAGAAGATAGATGAAGATGAGGGTGAAGATGGATGAAGATATCAAAGCCGTGTCTCCCACAGGGGCAGAGATGACCTTCTAATGAATTTGCTGCACATCACATCTGTTCTTGTGGGGACCTTAAGGCTCTCTGAGCTTGGTTGTTTTCTAGCAGACGGTTCATTACCCAACTTCATCACATCATCACCAGTGATACTGTTACCTAGTTCGATAATGAAACATCTGCAAGAAAACATCCCAGCCCAGAGGGGGCCAAGCACCCAACAGTTCAACCCTGAGCTACAAATTCCCTTCTATCAATGCTTTTGCTCCTCAAGAAGTGGGTGGTTCTGTTCCTTCTGACCCAGATTACTGAATTAGTGCATTTTCTGAGTTTGCACACTCTTTATGGACTTCCACACTCCACTAAACCTTAAAGAAAGTCAATGGGCTATTTTGCAGATCCACCAAAGCCCCCTCCCCAAGGCCTACCAACAGAGCTAAGTTAACATTAAAAGGACCCAAACGGTAGTCTGTTGAGGAGAAAAAAGTACATGGTTGCCTAATTCTTCAGCCTCCCCCCCCCACCCATCCCAATCCAACTCCTTCCCTTCCACTCACATTCCAAGGCAAACCGGAAAAGCTCGTGGGTGAGGTCAGTTGTCCATTTATCTTGCGGACTGCTTCCAACCTTTATCTCCATCCGCTTGACAAAATCCTCCCCTACTTCGTTCAGGAGAGGTATGAAGTTATCCGTGACTTTGAGGGACATGGCTTCCTTGTTCAGGACTAGGCGGTCCTGGCGCCAGCTGTCTCCTTTTCTAGAAAGTACAAAAAAACAAGTAATTCCAAGGTTGTTTCGCTCATAATTTCTCCCATTTGTCAGCTCTTTTTTGACCTTTGGGGGGGCAGTCCCCCCATTTGCATTAAATCACAAGGGGGGGGGACTCTTTACGACTCCTTCCCTGGCATACGTTTCAGAGAGGAGCAGCTGAGCAGCCAAGGGAAGCATAGCAAGAGACAACTGATCAAAACCCTCAGCTACAATCAAGTCAGCTCATCGGTGGCCAAAGAAATCCTAAAGCAGGGGTCTTCAAACGTGGCCCTTTTATGACTTGTGGACTTCAACTGCCAGAATTCCCATGTGCCTGGCTGAGGAATTCTGGGAGTTGAAGTCCACAAGTCAAAAAAGGGCCACGTTTGAAGACCCCTGTTCTAAAGCAAGCTGAAGAAGAAACGGAGAAATAAAACACTCCCCCCCTCCCCATGACAAAATAACCCTCACGTTCAAGTGAGCTTCAGATTTCTCTTTTTCTGAAGGATCTCCAATCCCAACCCCCTTGATTCTGGTGTGGGGTTCAGGCTCGGCGGCCATTGTCTCATCACAAAACCTCTGGGCCCGTCCTACCACATCTCGGGGGCTTCTTACTTGAGGAGAACCCCGTAAGGCTTGTTACGGAAGTCCCGATAGGCGATCCAAGGGGGCACAGTAAATCTCTCCGGGTACAGCCCTTCGGATTTGAAGAGGATAGCGGCGTCCTTGGGATCAATGATGTTGATGCTCTCATAGCTGCCCACTTTCTCCCTGTGAAGACATGTCAGCATATCATTTGGGGCATTAAAGCCTGGATGGTGTCACAGGTGTTAAGTTATTTAAACTGAAATCTTGAGGCAGTCATAGATGCCTGGTTTCCCCCAGCAATAGTAGCAGTATTGGGTTAAAGAATGGGGAAGAAATGATCGCTCTGAGCTTGCAGACATTTCATTACCTAACTAGGTAACATCATCAGTGCTAGAAGGGGGTGGTGTCCATTTAGTGTAGGAGAAGCAAAGGGAAGAGGACGAGGAGGAGGACAGCAGGAGGAGTAGAAGGAGGAGCGGGATGGGGTCCTTGGTGCTCTCTGAGCTTGGCTGTTTTCTTGCAGACTTTTCATTACCTAACTAGGTAACATCATCAGTGCTAGAAGGGAATGGCGTTCATTTAGTGTAGGAGAAGCAAAGGGAGGAGGAGGAGGAGGAGGAGAAGAGGAAGAGATGGAGGAAGACTATGGGGTCCTTGATGCTCTCTGAACTTGGTTGTTTTCTTGCAGATGTTTCATTACCTAACTAGGTAACATCATCAGTGCTAGAAGGGAGTGGGGTTCGCTGAGTGTAGGAGAAACAAAGGGAAGGGGAGGAGGAGGAAGAGAAAGAGGAGGACTGTGGAGGATGCTCTCTGAGCTTGCTTATTTTCTTGCAGACGTTTCATTACCTAACTAGGTAACATCATCAGTGCTAGAAGGGAGTGGCATTCATTGAGTGTAGGAGAAGCAAAAGGAGGAGGAGGAGGAGGAGGAGATGTTCAAAAGAAAACTTCAGTGAGATGTTTAAAAGAAATTGTCGGAACGGATCACTTTTAAAAGAACTTGAGTGTTCATCTGGAAGGACAATCCCCTGATTTTCTGAATCATAATGTTAGTTTTAAAGACTGCATTTCCCATTGCAAAATCCTCTAATGAAGACTAACAGGGTGATCAATAGAAGAGAATAGGTGTAGCTCCAGATTGAACTGTGAGATCCTCAGTGCTCTTTGAGCTTTATAGTTTTCTTGCAAACGTTTCATTACCAAACGAGGGAGCATCAGATGAAGTTACCTAGTTTGGGTAACGAAACATCTGCCAGAAAACCACCAAATGCAGAGAGCACCAAGGACCCCACAGTAACAGAGGAGTGTTTGAAGCAAACGAGAGGCAGATAGACACAAAGAGGTGAATGATTGCAAACTTTCAAAGGGGAAACTAGCCAGTAATTTAGTTCCAGAAAAAAAAAACCCAGCGTCTATTAAACCTACAAACCATCTTGATCAAAGTGGGAGAGAGTATTTTACTTTGAGGAAGAAGAATGGAAAAAGTTTGGGAAAGGAAGCAGAATTCCACCAGATTTAAGTGACCCACCACCACCACCATCTTACCTATAAATAGGACCAAACGTCTTAAACTTGTCCACCATGATGTTGTGAAGATTGTGGAAACCGTCGTCCTTCCAGAACTGATAGAGATTAAACCATCTGGTTTTCCAATTTCCTGGCAAATCGCTGAATGGCTTCGGTGCGTTTTCCTGGGCTGGAGCTGAAGGCATCTCTCTGGAAGCTGTGTGGAGTTGGAGAATGCCAGGGCTGGATGCATCTTCAGGGCAGAAAAGGGCCCGTAAAGGATTGGAGATGCCCAAAGCAGGAATTAAAGGATGGGCCCTGAGCAGCATTGCCACACCAAAGGAGGAGGGAGGGGAAATGGGAAAAATAGAGGGAGGGGAGTCAGTAATCGGCCCTGGAGACAAAAAAAAAAAAAAATCCTTGAAAATGATAGGAGACCTCCAAAGCTCAAAGTTTTATAGTCGAGGAATGGCTTATTCAAGGATGAAGATTGTCCAATCAGATCCGCTCTGAAATCCTAGCCTATCTATTCATTGCGTTTTTCAAAACAAAAACACAGCTTCATGCAGACACAAACCCAAGCCTATATCACAAGGAGACTTGTTACCTTTAGGGCTTTTGTTAAGGTTAGTGTTTTGTTTTTTTCCTCCAGTGCAAAAACTTTCTATTTTCAATCATCCAAATAAATAAGTAAGGCAGGCTTAAACCAGTAAAGCCTTGATCAAATGTTTGTTCCTTTCTAAAAGAGCACTGGGATAAAAGATGAAATCGCTCAGCTTAGATCTAGAGCTGGCCTTTATTGCAGAATATTAGCTCCAGGGTTGCCCAGCTAGACCAAATTTGGTGTAAAATCGAGCAACGTTGATTGCCTCTGTCCAATCTCCACTTTAATGCTTCCATTGGAAAAGTTGTTCGGAGTCAATCGGCAATGCTCCCTTTCCTGCAGTTTCCACGCCTCTCTGTCAGGCCAGAACTTTTGATCAAGCGAGGTCAACTTCGTTTAGCATTGCAGCTGCTCAGACTCCTTAAGACTAGAGTTACAATTCCCCTTTGAGGCCACTGGTCTGTCCTTTGACAAATCTTTTCTTCTGGCTGGGATTATTGCTATTATTATTATTATTATTATTATTATCGATTATCGCACAGTCAGCCAGATGTTCAGACTGGATTTGGCATTTTGTCTACCTATCGAGTCCTTACCCAGGACCTGGGATAGGCAGATGTGGATGTTTGATGGTATTACAGATATCGTCGCAGGATGGAAGCAGTTCCTAATAAGGCTGCCTTTTGCAATTGACTAATAGCGAATTTGTCAATGCCAATGGTGTTCAAGTGGTGCTCCAGTTGTTTTGGGATTGCACCCAAGGAGCCTATGACTATTGGTACTACCCTTGCTTGCTTGTACTACCCTTGCTTGCTTTATTATTATTATTATTATTATTATTATTATTATTATTATTATTTGCAGAGTTGAGGGTAGTGTATATCAGTACATCTGGTTGGTTTATATCAGGGTCTCATGCAACCCCTCAAATGGATTAAATCAGTGCCACTTCATGTGGGAGGCAGAGTCATTCTAAGACTGGCCTATACTTCCATATTTCTATTATTTCCTAGAGTTTCTGAGTTGGGCGGCCATAAAAATTAGATAGATAGATAGATAGATAGATAGATAGATAGATAGATAGATAGATAGATAGATAGATAGATATGATAAAGACAGATGATATAGAGATAGACAAATAGACACAGACAGATAGATAGGTGATAGAGATAAATATGATAGATGAGAGAGACAGAGATGAGAGAGATATGATATAGTAGATAGATAGATAGATAAATAGATAGATAGATAGATAGATAGATAGATATAAATAATAAAGACAGATGAGAGAGGGAGAGATGATAGAGGTAGATATGATAGAAGTAATAGATAGATAGATAGATAGAGAGAGAGAGAGACAGACAGACAGACAGACAGATCAAAATAGATAGAGATAGATAAATAGAGATACATGACAGACAGACAAACAGACGGACAGAGATGAGAGCTTGCGATGCACCAATAACACAATGTTCAACTGAAAAATACTGTGGATGACCTTAGGCCAGCTTCTCCCTGTCCTATCTTGCAAGGAAAGAGTCGCATACAGACAATATCCCTACCATTTTATGAACTTTTGTGCAATGTGAGTTTCAAAGAAAGGTAGGAACATCCTTAAAAACTCATAATCTTCTTATGGGTCAGATTGGTACTCACGTCAGTAGGGATTAAGTGATTCTGAAGGACAGTGTCTCGGCTGAGTATGTGGTAGTGTCGTGATAACGAGGTGCTCTCTAAAGTTGGTTGTTTTGTTACAGACGTCTCATGACCCAACTAGGTAACATCATTATGGCTTTTGGGTGAATCAGCTCATAAGCTCATACAACTTTTGGTCAAAAGTTTCAAACTTTCCCCCGGGTTGGAGGACAAGAATTTGGAAAAAGCGTTGCCTTTTCTTCTTCAAAAGAGCAATATGTTCACAAACCAAACTCATACGCAAGAAAATATCGGCCCTACGAAGTTGCCAGTCCTTGGGACATCCCTGTTTTGGGTCCATGGAGCTTGGAATATCTAGCCTGTCTCTGCCATGTTCTACTTAAGAAAAACAATGAGATAACTAACCTCATTTCACTGTGGCATCTCAAAGACATCAAAATTGGTACCAAAGATCAAGTTTACCAACAGACAAACTTGCTTGAAGAGTTTGCAGGAGGTGAAGAAAGAACTCATAGTTCTAAAAGGGTCAGGAGACCATGGTCCTTAAACTTAGCAAATATCTGGATAGTGAGCAGAACATTCTGACTTGCAATAACCACATTTGAAGATAATTTGTTCCCTGGTAATCAGTCGTTATCATGTTTTTATGTCATGTAGATATCACAGCTGACTCATACTTACTTTTGACATAAAGTGACCTTTGCTGATTTATTAGAAAAAATAAATAAATTTCACATACTAGTGTCCAATAGTCCAAGATAATTACAGTATGTAACCTGACCATCGTCTCTACAAAATCCCCTGTAGTTTTTATATTCTCATTTTATCCCCCCCCCCCAGTTAGCAATGAAGTCCCCAGAGAAGTTGCTTGGTTTGAATCCTAGTTAATCATATTCTCCAGCTTTTGGTGAATAGGTGAACCTCCTCTCTGGCAACCTCTCAAATTTTGGAAGAGTGCTATCATGTGATTACGGGTGACATGATAGCAGTGTTCCAGTATTTGAGGGGTTGTCATAAAGGAGAGGGGGTCCACCTATTCTCCAAAGCACTTGAAGGCGGGACAAGAAACAACGGATGGAAACTCATCAAGGAGAGAAGCAACCTAGAACTGAAGTGAAATTTCCTAAGACTGAAAACAATTAATCATTGGTACAGCTTGCCTTCATATGTTGTGGATGCTCCGTCACTGAAGTTTTTAAAGAATATGTTGGACAACCATTTGTCCTGAATATTATAGGGTCTACTGCTTGAGCAAGGGGTTCGACTGGAAGACCTCCAAGGCCCCGTTCAACTCTGTTATTCTGTATGCGTGATAAGGTACAAGAGCTGGCCAATTGTGTCTAGACCAGGGGTAGGCAACCTCGGCTCTTTTATGACTCGTGGACTTCAACTCCCATAATTCCTGAGTCAGCTATGCTCAGGAATTCTGGGAGTTGAAGTCCATGAGTCATAAAAGAGCCAAGGTTGCCTATCCCTGGTCTAGACCAGTGGTTCTTAACCTTTTTGAACGAATCGCCCCCTTGAGCCAATGAGGAAGTTGTCATCGCCCCCCTCCCCCAACATAACCTCTCAATCACAACATAGGAAATAATTCTTCAATTTATGCAAACACTTGTTTTGTTTTCTTTAAAATTGTCATCAGGACATATTGATGCAAATAATTTATTTCCAATCTTTTTCCCATATCTCTTTTTTTCACTGTGTGAAAAATTTTGATGCCACCCGTCACTTTATTCCCAAACTTCATGATACATGTATTTCATTATTATCTTATTTATTCAAGACACTTAAATGTAATGACCACTTTGAAAACAAAATTCAATTGCAAGAAAGTGAAATGCCCGAAAAGAAAAACAGTAATATTTAATGATTGAATTACAAGTAAAATTTAAGACGCAAAAAGAAATATAAAAAAGGTAGAGGCTGCTGCGCAACGCGCATGAAGATAAGCGATGCGTATTCACATATGTACGGTGTTCTGTACTGAAGCTAGCTGGAGGAACATTTGAAAATACAATTCAATCCACTAATAGCGAGCAATCTGATGTTTTTGTACGACAGATATACAGTGATTCACTATATGAAAAAGTCTCAAAAGTGTCTCCAAAACTTTTCACTCCATCGCCCCCATATCGCCCCCTTTTTGTTCCTTCACCCCCCTGAAAAATGAAATCGCCCCCTGGGGGGCAATATCGGCCAGGTTAAGAATCCCTGGTCTAGACCATGAAGCTCAGTTGAGTTTGGCTTTGTTGATCTTTAGATAGAAATTCAGGGAGAAATCCCAGAGTAGGATGCTCTGGTTGGAAATTGAAAAAAATCCACCCCCAAAAAACTATTTCTGTCTTTAGAGCAACATAAAAGTACCTATAATAAGCAAATAAATTAATTTTGTATTGCCATCAATCAATCAAACAAACAAACATCCTTTCCAACTCTGTTCTTCTCTCCTTCTGTAGCTTAGTCTGATGCTTTCTTTTTGTACCACACGATGGCAGTAAACATCTGCAAACATCTGCAAACATCCAGAATCTTTACTTCTATAGGGTGCATTTGTAGCTGTCTCCTATTCAGATAGGCAAGAACAGACGTGACAGGGATTACAATTCCAGCAGGATTTGAAGGCAACAAAAAAGTCACCGTCCTATAAATTGCCGCTGCAACAGCAATGGGAGCATTTTCGACAGATTATAGAGAACATCTTCAGGCCAAAAAAATCAACAACGCCGGAAAATCTACAGGATTTGGTGAAAAGAGTCAGGACAGGGTCCATCATGGCTGTTTTGGTTTATTATGGCAGAAAATGGTTTAAAAAAAAAAAAAAAAACTAGTCAAAGCCCAGAGAGGAGAATACAATTCATACAAGCATTTGGTGAGAAAGTACAAATGTACAAAAAACGTAAGGTGACCAACCGTCCTCCTTTAGGGAGGACAGTCCTCCTTTTGTAAGTTCTGTCTTCCCTCGAAAAGTGTCCTCCTACATGTCCTCCTTTTTGATATTTGAAGACTAATCTGCAGGGCTTTTTTTTTTTTTCTCATAGAACGCTTAGAACCGCATTCTGGCACCTTTTTTGATGGTTTTTTTTTTTTCAATTTTTGTATGAGCTGTGCGACTCCCACTATTGGCTTTCAAAAGC